CACATGCCCTTGACCGAATCGAACCTAGGACCTTTCAGTCCACAGGCCGACACTCTATGCACTGAGCCAAACCGGTTTCGGCAGCAGCTCACATTTAAATAGCACTATGCAGGCCCCATTCTAAGTGCCCATTTCACTGTCACGGCGCTCTGAGGGGGGCACTGCCATTATTCCCATTCACAAACAGGGAACAGAGCACAGGATGGTTAGATAACTCGCCGAGCTCACGCAGCAGTCAGGACTGCAGGCCCAGCTGCTGAAAGGCATGTAGTGGTCTGGTCTGGTCCCAGGCACCAAACACGTGGGGGAGTCAAATGGCTCACGGTGCACCTGGAGTCCTAAAATGCGGGAGGGGTGGGTCCCCGGAGTCTGCAGTTTTGGGAGTTCCCAGGCGATGGGATCCTGCTGGTGTGTGGACATCTGGAGTAGCCATGCCAGGGTACTGATCAGTCCCACGGTAGCCCTGCCCCGCAGGTCAGAGACCAGGTCTGTGGGATGGGGCCACCCTCACACCCCAGGTTAGAGCCTTACAGGCTCCATATGCAGCACAGAAGCATGTTGGACTCTTGACCCCCTGCTGGCCCTGAGCAGAGGTTCGCTCTCACAAATGCGAACTGCAGGAGCCCATAAGCGCAGGGGCCAATGGAGCTGGAGAGAAAGCACTAGAACGGGGCCGAGGTGCTGTTTTGAGGGTGTGTGCCAGTGCCCAGGCTGACGCTGCCCTTCTCACAGCTAGGGCAGTATACCTCCGTCTTCCTGGACAACGCTAGCGGCTCCCTCGTCACTGTGCAAGATGGCTCCCAGTTCAGCGCTCTCCTCCTTGGCATCTGAGCAGTATCGAGCTGGGTCCCAACAATCTCTGGGCAGTGTTGGAGTGACAGAGGCCACATGCAAGAGAGAGCCCATTCAACTGCACTCAGTGGTCCCTGCAGTTCAGCCCAGAGATGGCCACTCCAGGCAGCCTGGGGAGGTGACAAGCAAACCTGCTGTCCCAGAACCAGAAAGGACTTTAAGATCCCGCTTCACCAGAGTGCAGCGCACCCAGGCCTGGGCCCCCCCGCTGCTGGCCTATTGGCTTGTCTAAAATCTCAGTTCCACCGGTCTGCATGGTTCAGTGGTTGGGTATCAACCTATGAACCAGGAGGTCACGGTTTCATTCCTGGTCTGGGCACATGCCCAGGTGCAGGCTTGATTCCCAGTGTGGGGCATGCAGGAGCCAGCCAATCAATTATTCTTTCTCATCACTAATATTTCTTTTTCTCTCTTCCTCTCTGAAATCAATAAAAATATATTTAAAAAATAAATAAAACCTCAGCTTCTTCACTGTGGCCAAGTCCCGCCCTTTCCATCTTTCTTAAGTGTTGAGAGTGCCGGCAGAGGAACGGCCGGTCTGCCTGCTGGGGTGCCCTGTGTAGAGGGGCAAGGCAGTCTGTGCAGGGCTGCAGGGCCTCCTAGGGTAAGTGAGCTGCATGGAGGGCCAGCTTTAGCAGCAGCCTTCCCACTGTGCCCATCTCCAGCTGGGGCTCCCTCCCAGCCATGCCTTTGGTCTGTACCAGCCGTGGGCAAACTACGGCCCGTGGGCC